ACTTGGGAATAAATCTTACTAGGGACACAAAAGACCTGTACAAAGAGAACTATAAAACACTACTTCAAGAAACCATAAGAGATCTACATAAATAGAAGAACATAGCATGCTCATGGATATAAACACTGAACATTGTGATAATGTCAATTTGACCCAAAGCAATCTATACATTCAATGCAATCCCATCCAGATCCCATCAACATTTTTTTAAGGATATGGAAAAAACAATCACTAACTTTACATGGAAAGGAAAGAGACCTTGGATAAGCAAAGCACTATTGAAGAAGAACAACAAAATAGGACATCTCACACTGCCCAATCTCAAAACCTACTATACAGCCACAGTAGTCAAAACTGCCTAGTATTGGTACAATGACAGACACATAAACCAATGGAATAGAATTGAGAACCCAGAAATAGATACATCAACGTATGGTCAGTTGATTTTTGACAAAGGACTGAAATGCATTACATGGCAAAAGTGATGGTCTTTTTAAAAAATGGTGCTGGTGAAATTGGATATCTATTTGCAAAAAAATGAAACAAAATCTGTACCTTACACCATACACAAAAACTAACTCCAGATGGATCAAAGACTTAAATGTGAAACCTAAAAGTTTAAAGTTCCTGAAGGAAATACTAGGGACAAATTCAGGAACCCTAATTTATGGTGGTTTAAACTTCCCAGCCACGCCTCAAAAGGAAGACTGGGAAATCTACTTGCATAGAGATACCGCATCAAAAACCCAAGGAGGGATCGCTATGAGTTGGAACCAACTAGATAGCAGTGAGTTTGGATGTAAGGGCTTTTGAATTGTGTTTGGTATGTTACAAGGCAGTTGTTTAAATTTTATTCTAATCATTAAGTAATAAGCATAATAGTTGCAGAGATAGCAAGTCATTTTTTACTGTTCTCCAAGAGATTATAGATTAGTGCATATTTTGCATAGAATAAGGTGAAAAGGCAATGTGTGACTTTTGAGACTGAAAAGAATTGATGGTTCCTCCTTCCTCCTTTCTCTTGCTTTGTCCAGTCTGGACCAGTCTGGCCAATGTGTTGTGGGAATATTGAAATGGCCTCTGGAGAGGACTGTCTGGGGAGGAACTGAAGCCTCCCCAACTAACAAACAACAACACTATTTGCTAAGAAACAACACTACATGTGTGACCATGCTGGAAGCAGATCTTTCAGGCCCAGCCAAGTCTTCAGTTGCCTGTGACCTTAGTCACTTCTTGACTGACACTTCATAAGAGACCCCAGCCAGAACTACCTAGCCAAAGGGATTCACAGAAACTGAGTGTAAAAACAAATGTTTGTTGTTGTTTTAAGCTGTTAGTTTTGAGAGTAATTGGGATACATTTATCATAGCATTTCCCTCCTCTATCTCTCAACGCCGACTGCCCAAATGTGTCTCAAACTTGATTTTGCTTTCCAGCCAAGGAGATAAGGTCTTTATTTCCACAAGATCACTGGCCATTGGGGTAAACTTTTCTTTAGTATACAAATGAATTTACTTGGGGCTTCATCATACTGATGTTATGTACTTTGGAAAGTTTGGGCGTTTGCTGAGATCTCTATTTTTCAGGGATTATGTTCTGGGTAACATGATATTTCCAATCACCTCGTATGCATGTGAGAGCTGGACAATGAATAAGGAAGACCGAAGAAGAGTTGATGCTTTTGAGTTGTGGTGCTGGCGAAGAATGCTGAA